TGGTGATAATCTTGTTTTCTTGTGCCCAATAATGCATAATTTCATTTGATAAACACGTTTAGATTGAATGGTAATTTATAATCAGTCACAAGAACGTCGAATCTGAATCACGGGGGTGCTTAACTTTTTTCCAGGTGTATATATAAAACGTTTTTCTCATTACTCTACAGTTTTCCACTTTTTACTGGTTAGATTTTAGATTACTAAGTAATATTATACATTCTATATTTGACTAATTTTTTTTCAATGTAAAAACAAACAGATAGATAAATTGGATCAATTTAAAACTATCATTTATCCTTACGCATGCATAATGAACTATTCTCATTAGCAGAGAGCAAACCATTCTTGTTTTAAATTCTTCATGAGTGCCTGAGATACAGATTTTGAAAGATGTTAAATCTGATTTTAAGAAATGTTACTTGAGCAATATGTAATTTCATGGCCCAGGATGAGTAGCATAAAATGAAACAACAAACTGTCATAAAGTCCATGGTTAAGATTAGTAAAATCTTGTTTTTATACACAAGACTAAATCTTTAACAATTTTCATTACATGTAATGCAGATGAACATATGAAATATTTGTTGTTGTGATTTGCTAACATAGCTGATGAAAATATTTCAAAATCTCACTCCTATCTAACAAACTTTCTATTCATACAATTGGTTCAAGATGATATTATGCTGTAATTATTTTATTAGTCAGCACATGTTTATGTTTGGGAACCAGTTCTATTTTTATGTGAATGAAACAAATGTAGTTACTCCCCAAAGAACTGTTCTTTTCTTCATGATTCTATGCTAACTTTTTGCATCTTTTATTTACAGTGAGGCATCCATCAAAATTTGGAAACCTCTTGCTGCTCCTTTGACTTCTTGAGCTTCTTTGCCCTCTGGTTTTTCCAGTGACTTAGTTCTCTTTAATTTCTTTAGTAACATTATTCTGTTCTAATACAGCTTAGTTAAATGTTATTCCTTTTTAAAAATCTTGGGTTACTATTAGTTGAATACACTACTGAGCTTTTCTACAAAAGATATGTCCAAACTTTATACCTTTAACTACTCAATATAGTAGGAAGTAGTAAAATAATGACACTTTACACCATTAGATTTTAAACTTTATTGATGCCTTTAGTTAAGAGAATACTGTCTAGCTCTGCAATCAAACTCGGAACCTGCTGTTTGGAGTCACTTGTACATGAAAAAGGATTTTGTAGCTCTAGCCAAACTTCAAATTCACATATTGAAGTCTGACTTGTAATTGACAAAAGATTCTGTAACCCTTTAGCCAAACTCAGAATTCACTTCTTGAAGTCTGATTTTTACTTGAAAATGGATTTTGTAGCTCTCTAGCCAAACTTGGCTTGCTTATTTAGATCAACTTGTACTTGAAATACTTGATGTTTCTAAGTTTCAATTAAAATAACATTCAGATAGTTATAGCAGACAGTGCAAATGTTGAAAATTTGACCAGGTAGGAAAGCCAGGCTAAAAAAACTGAAGGTGGCAACACAATTAGGATATAAGAAAAATAACTTTGACAAGTGTGATAAACTGAACAGTGCGGGTTTTCATTCCAGCAACAGATTGTTGTAGAAAGGACTTCTTACCATTTACGGGTAAAATAGAAATACTGTATTTTATATTATTTTATTTATCATTTAGTTTCTTTTTACGTTCATGTTTTCTCAGTGATTATACTGTGCGTATGTGGCATGCACGTGATGTTTCGCCAGAGATCAGTAGTTTTGGAAATGGAAGACTATAACAGCGAGAGATGAACAGTTAAGAGAGAAATGGAAGAATGCTACTAAATATCCTAGATGGGGTTTTAGGAACAAGAAAATGGTAACCATGGAAACATTGTTTGTTTTTATTAAGGAGATAACATCAGCTAACAGTATCCTGTTTCATAGAATTTTCAAGTTCCAGTGAAACAAATGTTATCATGCATATTAATGTGTGTTTTCATTTTGTGGATTTTCAGGGGTATTACTTGTAATGTCAGTTCTTTTTAAAATGTTCAAGAAATGATTTAGATAAAAAGATTGTAGCTGTTGGAATTTCAAGAACAATAAGAATTTGGGATGTTTCCCAATTCTGTTACCAAGAAGCCAATGTTTAGGAACTAAAAACTATTTGACATTATATATAATTCCATGTGTTTAGAGTCTTAACTTATTATTTTGTCTAATTTAGGAAACTGTATAGGATAATTCTAAGTTATTTGTTCTCTGCAACATGAATCTTGCACTATTATTAACAATATTGTACAGTAATAAAAAATATAGTTTTTAAAAGTTTCCTAGGGTCAGGTCTTCAAACCACAAAAATCTTAATCTCTAAAACACCTTTTGAAAAACTTGTAGCAAAGGACTATTTATTTGTTTTGTTTTTCAAAATATAACTCAAATGTGCTAAAAAATTCATTTTTAACATACTGACGAGTGATGTTTGTGGCAAAAATAGGTTTTTGATATTGATAGTCTCAGACTAATGTTTCTTCCATCTTTCAAAATGTATAAAACTATGAATTTTTATAGTATTTGCTGTGGTTAGTTGATATTGTATAAAAGAAAGTTCCTACTAATGTTATAATTTAAACTAGTTAGTAGGTGTAGTTTGACTTTAAATCAGATAACCTAGGTCCCAATAGACACAATAAATTTAAAGTTTTGTTTTAAAGATTGTTTTCCAAATGATAATACAGGATTGAAAGTGTTTCTATCAAGCTTTGGCTCAAGAACATCTCCTAAAAGGCAGTAGTGTAATGTTGAGACAGTGGGCATCTTTAAAATGTAGTCAATTATGCTCTGTCTTCTGGGTTGTATTATTGTACTTTTAATTTTTCAGTTATTTATAATGTAAAGTTTCCAGCTTGATAGTTTTTGTATATGTTTTATATTTTAAATTCCATTCTGTGTAACAATAAATTCTATTGAAGGGATTGAACATTTTAAAAACTTTTCCAACACTTACGCAATGGTCAGTTCTCCCAAAAGGATCATCTCAACACATTTTTCATAATGCTTCAAATGAACAATGTCTGCCTTGCACCCGTCCCATTAGATTTGTATGAATGAGATATATCTTTAACATGTGTAGTACAAGAAGACAAATATTTGTTGTGTGTGTAGAATAACAGTCACCATGATAAAAAATCAGGTTTTCCTTTCTACCATGTTGAGTTAAAATATAATATCAGGATATTTACAATGCGTTTTTCCCATCTTTTTTTCCTCCCCTAACTCTGACTTCTTAGTAATGTGAAAATTGTTCTTTTAGCTATTGAGTGTAAAATAAATACAATACTGTAAGGCTGCTGTCATTAAGTTTGGTTTTGATAACAATGTAAACAGAGTGGAATCCTTAGGAAGGATATAAAACTATTTAATATGTAGAAAGAAATTGTTAGAAGTGTGAAATTTACTGTAGAACACTTAAAGTATAAACAGGGGATATTTTCCCTCTGTGAAAAAAGTGAGTGGTTAAAATAAATATTTGTTAGTACAAAATATTTAATTAGAAGTTGTAAATAATGCATTATTTAGAGTTTAATTTCATTAACTTCACATGTTGTGGTAGGGACCAGGTTTGAATATTTACAGCTTACATTAAAAAGGTTGTAAATTTAACTTAAAAAATGTATTTCTTTTCTCATTACTAATTTTCTTATTCTAGTTTTATTTTTGTGGAGTTCAACTGTGTATTATTACCATGTTTTGACTGGTAGACAACACTGATTTAATGAAGGTTGTGATGATTTTTCTTTTAATGTTATAGGCTTTTTTTGCCTGCAATTAGTGATTGAAAAATTGGTTCCTAATATTAATATATAGATAAATACTGAAGTTAAACCTGGTTTAAGAATGTCATGAGAGAATGATTATTCAACAAACTATAATCTAGAAATTCCATTTCAGAATTGCACCATATTAATAAAAATCTGCAAAAAAAACAGTAAGTTAACCTATGGTAAGATTTACGAATTTCATGAAAAAATGGATAAAAAACATGTCTTGGTTTTGTTTAATATCATTCCAGTTGGAACCATATTCAATAAATAAATAAAAAACCAGGTGTTTACGACAAAGTCCAACATATTTTAAGTTAATAAAACATTGTGATGATAACTTTACTGATATTTTCAGTTTATTTAAAAAAATTACTTATAGAACCAGAACTAAAATTTATAGCACTTTCAGCCAATCATAGTCAGATATTGATGATAGTCACTTCGATAGTGCTGTGAAAACAAATTTTACAGTAATTACCTATATAGTTTGCTCTTAAACTCAGTATCTTAATGAATCATTGGATGTGATAATTAAGTCTAAAATATGTTGAACATTTTAAAAAAAAAGTTCCTGGGGCAATAAGAAATATATATATAAAAAAAAAACATTAACCACTGCTAGCATACTTTCTTTATACTGCAGTGAGTATAAACACATTTCCTAATTGTTCTCCATAACTATCAAATTTAACTTAATTTAAGAAAAGTTTTAATCCAAACTGTAGTTTTAGTGTAAGGTAAGCTTTATAAAGCTGGGACAATGTATATAAGTATAGAAATAAAAGTTTAATTAGTACAATAATGGGTTGCTTATTCTATTTCTTTTATATACAAGGCAATGTGATGAGTACTGTTTTCTGTTGTTAAGTAGAGCTACACTTGGCTATCCAATCATGAGAATCTTATAATGCTTTTCAGCAAAATTTAAGTTTTATAAGGTACGGTGATAATTCTTAAGAAATCAAGAAAATAATTCCCACAGAAAATTATGGGTTTAAAAAGAGAATTTACTGCAGCATGTCAACTTGTATCATGTAGGCTCTGCAATGGAAAAATAATCACTAAGTAAAAAGTGGAGAAAATTAAAATTTGAATTTATTTAGTTTGACAACAACCTACCTTGCATGTGTAACATACCCACTGTTCTGTGCACTTCTGAAGGATTATAATGAAATGTACACCACAAATCAAACTTTATAAATAACCACTGTAATCAAGTAACTTTTCTTCACTTTCATATTTACAACAGTTCCATCCTAAATAAGAACTACTGAACAGACATGTTTTTTAATGTATAAAAACAAATGAGATACGAAAGTGAAAAAAATATTTAGCCACCTGAAATAAGTTGTATCTTAAAGCCCCAAACAGTGAAAAGGAACACAAAAATATGATTGGGTGTCTTACATAGTAACTTGACATTTTTATACAATCATTGTGTATCACTAACAGGCAACACCTTGTTCAACGAATTAGGAAATAATTCACTTTCAAGAAACAGCCTCAGAATTATGGAGTGATAGAGAGGCAGAATATTAGTATTCAACTAGTATACATAGATAGAAAAATACTTAATTTTTCAACAGCAATATCGGGTTAAAGAAGTCAACATAATATCTGAAAAAAAAAGGACAAAATATTGGAATTTCTTCATTTACCATAATGTTAAATTCACACTTGAGTATTTTAACAAGTGTTTAACAGAAGTAGAGGAAGAGTTGAAATATAGGGGTCAAAGGTAAAGAAACCTATGGAAGTATAAAGAGGCACAATTGAAAATTTGGACTATTTCAGTTTCCATGCACATAGTTTTATTATTTTTGTCACATGTTCTACAATGAATTTCATTTCACCTCTAAGAGTCATAAAGGTTATTTTATTACTGTGCTTATGGTGGTCTGTTTTTTTTTTTTTTGCTTAATCATAGATTTATGGATAATAAGAACATTAATATTTTTTTGTAATTCTGGCATAAGTGAGGACAGTATGTAGATTTGTTGTATAATCCTAAAAAAAGACCAAGACACCAGCCTGTTAACTATCCACAATGACCGTATTTTAAAATGCCATATTACTAATTCTGAGACCGATTCTTGCCATTCCTTTAGTAACATCCAAATATATTTGTATCTATACATCTTAGAGTGGTTTATAACAAAGATATTTAAAATTAGTTCAGACTACTGGATATTAACACACTAACTAACATTCCAGTTTCCACCAAAAGAAACATCAGATTATTTTCACACCTAAAAATAACTAAAGTAAAAGAAAAAGAAGTGTAATGGAATTTTACACTCAGCATCCCAAAACCTGTGTACAAGATATAATATCAGTTCAATGAAAATGGAATGAAAGTTTTCACTCTTTACCACAACAAACACTTCTGCCAACTTGTTTTATAGTACAGCAAAAATCCTTACTCCGGTTTCTTACTTTGAATCCAGTGACTAGTATAAAGCTGGGAAGGCAGCTTCTTTGGCTAACACTGACACAATTTTGTTTGTCTGTCATTTTAATCCCAAATGTGAAACACTGTCAGTGAAGAAGAATCACACCACGTAACGTCCTCTTATTTTATCTGATGTTGCACAATACTCATTGTAGATCAGTTTGATAAGAAACAAGTGAAACACCACAATAAGAAAGGCAATTGATACCCAAAACAAAGCTGGCAATCCCCCTAACTGATGTCCGTGTCGATGTAAGGCGAGAACATGGTGCTCGTGAGCTGGAGCTGAAATTAAAGAAATTTTACCTCTGCTAAGACATAATAACAAACATTGAACATTTTAATTCTATAAAGTTTCATCTAGGTGTGGTACGAAACTGTATATTAATGGGATTAACATACGTTGTAATAAGAGTGAAATAATAGTCCTAGGAGTTACAAACTTCTTACATCATCTGGCAAGTCTTTCTAAGAAACGTACTAAAACATGAACTGGAAACTAAAATATTCTTCTTAACAGTTTCTTATAGCAGAATCATATTAGTGGTTACTTCTATATTAACAATTTCCAATTTTCCTCAACAGCCTCAAAGAACTAAATTGTCCTTCCTTAGTGTTAACATAAAAGACTAGACTTGACCTACCTCAGTGTTAACATAAAGAACTAGACTTGTCCTTCCTTAGTGTTAACATAAAAGACTAGACTTGACCTACCTCAGTGTTAACATAAAGAACTAGACTTGTCCTTCCTTAGTGTTAACATAAAGGACTAGACTTGACCTACCTCAGTGTTAACATAAAGAACTAGACTTGTCCTTC